AAAAAACAAAAAAAAAAACGGGTGGATGCTGCCGGCTCGGGCAACGCAAATGACGCCACTCCCATACTGAATGAATCAGACGAAGTAGGAACAAATATCTGCCTACTGTGCGCTCCTACTGAAAACAGTAGATACTAAGAGTATACAGCACGGATAGTAAAGTACTGTCTACTGCCTACTGACAGATTGAGTAGGTACTTGGCAATTCGGATGCACCCACAGTCACCACCACACATGTATGGAGGCCCAGAAGTGAAGATTGAGCAGCATTAGCTACCTGTAAGTAACTACAGCTGTCAGATATGTAGTACAATAACATATGATATTTCTCTCTGAATTATAGTGGAGCAGACGTATCGAGCGGTATAACATTTTAATACTGAGGATAAAGTCAGCAAGTTAAATTTTACAACAGTACTTGAGTGAATGTATTCAGTTACTTCCCATCTCTAGGAAACTATTGTACAAAACCATAACAGACAAACATCTTCTAAATAAAGCAGGTTATATTTGTCAACAATCTCACTCTCTATTACGTCTGGTTAAGACTTCATGACCAGGTTTGCTCTCACAGGTGAATCATTTCATTCCTCTCACCTTCTGAGGAGACAAACTGTCCGACAGCCGACGACCCTCCGCCTCCCGTCTCCACAAACTCCACCTCAGACACGATGATGTTGTCCTCCAGCACGGAGCCGCAGCCCATACAGACCGCATCTCCACGCGCCTGGTCAACATCGATGTCCGAGCTGCCGCAGCTCTTACACACCCTGGAGCTCATGGTGTCGCACGGCAGGAAGCCCCAAAGCCTGATGAGGAAAAGAACTAACACTGTTCTAATGCTCTGCCCGGTTTAAACCCCTTTGTATTGTCTTGTATTTTCAATTGTGATCACTTAATGAAGCTATGAAAGAAAGATATGAGCTCGTTCCATACTCAAATTTATGCTCAAACTACAACTGTGCACTTAATCACAAATTCATCGTTATTGAGGAATTGCAATAAACACATCGCGCGCAGCTACCATCAAATTAACCAGTTTAATTTATTTTGCATTTTGGAGTTTGGAGATTCTGTTAATCTAGGATTTTCAGGGCCGATACAGATATCGATATTGGGGAAAGTAAGAATCAGAAACCGATATATCGGCCGATATCTTTCTTAGATCTGTGCTGGATTTGTCGAGATAGATACAGAAACGCACGTTTATTGCGTTGATCCCTCAAATGCAGTTATCAAACACTTGTGGAAAAGATTTATAACGAAGACAAGATGGTCACTCAACTGGAAATTAACTGTGCATGTACGTGAATCATCGCTCCACACTCTGGAGAGTGATGCTTATTGTAATCCATACAGCGCCCTCTGCTGGTGACAGCCAGAACAAGAACTGCTAGTGTTACACAGTGATATTCAAATTAAATGCCATTTGACTGGTGAATAAATCGAGTAATATCAGCGCACATCTGCAATAAAATCCTCCGATACAGATCGTCTCTGGATATGATAATATCGTCTGATATTATCGGCCAGTCGATGAATCTGTCGGGTTTTAATAACTGCTTATACTCTTGGGGATGAACATATTCTATAATCCATGATGTTTAAGTTCTTAGTTTGTTTTCATAGGTCAGCTTTTTGTTTGTTAAAGGGGATCAGTTGTAATGTTCATTGCATATTTCTCTGCAGGTTTTTTTTTTTACACACACTACCCTGATTACACTTGTTCTTTCCTGAACTAACATCCTCAATGCAGGAGCTTTACCTAGGTTTACTGAATGCACTCAGGTGAAGTATCTGTGCACTTCAGTCTGCAGGTCCACCCTGAGCACCCTTCAATGATTGTGCACAACTTCCCCGGCTGTCTGCTCCCATTAGCCGGTTAGCTACGTGGCATTGCTCAGCACCAGGTGGCTAGCTCAGCTTTTCTTTTTTTTTTACATTACCAAGCCAAAAGACGAGTCATTTTCAACAAGCCCTTTTCCCCGTCGACATATTCATGATGTAACAAGTATTGCACATGTAGTTAGAAACGCTCATAATGACAGGTATGTGGTGACGGTGTACAAACCTTCAGTCCGGTGAAGTCAAACAGCAGTCGCCTGCAGTCACGCCGGTTAGCGTGTCAGCTCCTTTACACAAAGTGTTTTCTACTATAACCCTGATTTTAATGATTTATTTAATCATTCACCGAGAAGCTTATCGCATTGTGAGAGCACACAGCAACGTGACAGCCCGCAACGGTTCATTTAAATGCTGTAATATCACCGCAATCCTCAGCACAACACACCCGACATGTGCGTTTGATGCTGGGCAGACTCGGGCGAGACCAACTCGGTTTGGAGGGTGGCGCGCTGTCAACATGTACTTCGATTTAAGCAATCTTTGTTCAGTGGGTTCTTTTTTAGAAACTCAAAGTAGCGTTATGATTTCGGGTTTATTTTGGGTGTTGTCTTGATTTAAAATCGTCTCTGCATGAAAGCTGTAAGCATATAAACGGCGAATAACCGCAAGCGGAATCCCCCGCTCAGGCAATGGGACTTCGTACGTCGCTGCTTTTAAATGAACAGTTCAGATAAATTGACAAGGACAGGATTATGGAATAAATACTCATAAAAAAATATCTTTCCTCTGGTTTATTTGTAATGTATTTGTTCCGCTTTGGTTCACATATTGTGTATTTATCCAGCTATTGATAAATCTAACTATAAACTAAATTAACATTAATTAAATACTGAACTTTAGTACAGTTTTGAGGTAATTTAGTCTACTAGCACTACCTATACCTATCCATTCTTTTGTTTGTTTTTCCTTCTTCATTTATGCCACTTAATACAGCTATACTTCACACTTATTTGGCTGTTGCTTACTTGAAAAAGTAAGTGTGAAATACTTTTACAAAGCTGGAGACAAATTTAAATTTTGGAAAACATTTTATGAATTAAAAATTACAAAAGGAAAACACTTTCACAAAGGACAAAACAAAGTTTAACGCAGTCTATTGGGCCGTATTTAACTTTATTTGATAGGACAGCTGAAGAGAGACAGGAAAAGGCTTACACACTTTCAGAAAAATTCTAAAAAAAAAATCTGGATATTTCCAGGAGGAGCTGCATGTGTGAACGCAAACAGACAAATTTTTCATTCAGACTTCACCCGGAGTTTCTCCTGCCACACACCATAGTATTTTTTTCCACAGCAAATCCAAGTCAGCTGATGTGAGAACGCAGCAGGATATTCTCTGGAGAATTCACCTCGAGCCAATGGGAGGGGGGAGTGACGTGTATACTGTGACTGCTGCACGGTGCATAAAGTGTATACACCGTACGATCTCCATGCAGGTAATTAAACGACTGCATTAAGTTTTCTGTTCGTCAGTATGTTGTTCTCACTCTTTATTTGACATTGTGATACAGGAATAGTCTGCATATGTGAAAACAGGTTAAGTGACCGCTTCTGGCATTTGGTACATTCCCTTTCCGTCAAGATTCTGGCATTTGTAAATTCCTCTCAGCGCTCGTAAAAGTGTTTGACACCTTTTAAATTTGTTTTCTGAAATGTAAATAATTTGTGTCCTTGGTAAAAGGTGTTTTGCTTTTGTAATTTTGTTTTATAAAATGTTTTCCATAGAGTGAATTTGTCTTTTGATTTGTACTTCCCAGCCACCGTACAATACAGATTCAGACAAACCATTCCACATCATTCACATTAATAGAATCAAGAGGAAATCACAAAGCAGTCGGGGTATTTTTGGACCACAAATAAGCATTTGACACAATAAATCATGAAATACTGATCAATAAACTAGAACGATATGGCATCAGGGGGGATCGTATCGTAGGCAACAATTTGTGAAGTTGGGGGAGTTTTAATCATCGTGCTTGGACATTGCTTGTGGCATCCCCCAGGGGTCAGTGTTGGGTCCTAATCTGTTTATTTAACACATTAATGACATACTGTATGTAAAGTCTCTAATAAACTGAAGCTGGTCTTATTTGCAGATGATAACAATATTCTTTGTTCAGGTGAGAATCTACAATTATTAGAGGTTATTACTACAGAAATGGCAACAATTAAAAAAGTGGTTTGATAGAAATAAATTATCATTAAATTTGAATCACATAAAAAGTATTTTATTTGGTAAATATAAAGCAAACACAAAAATACAGCTACAAATAGATGGTGTCAGCATTGAAAGAATTTATGTATACACATTTGTTGGGGTAACAATAGATAAATAAATCACAAATCTCTACATACCCTCTACAGTACACTTGTTTTACCATATTTAAGTTACAAATCAGTTGTTATGGAGACAACTGAATCTCAAAATTCTGGCCACACGCACAACATTCAGAAGTTTTTCTGTTTCTATTGTTGGCATAAAACTTTGTAACAGTTTAAATGTGGAGCTGAAGCCAAGTCCAAGCACAAACAAGTTTTACAAAATGTACAAAAAAAATAAAAACATTTTCAGAAAGTATAAGGATGCAGAAGGGACTTAAAATTTGCTGCGTGGTTATGATAGTGATTATAACGGTTGTTCATTTTTCTTTTCTGTTAGTTTTTCTAAAAGGAATGAAGGTATATATGTCAATATGTTGACAGGTATGGTGAAGGGTAAATAGGTAATGGAGAAAAAACACTAACTTAAATGTATTACTACAAACTGTATATCATTAATTAAGGGAGAAGAACATGAATATGGAAGATAAAAGAAATCAATACATGTTCAAATATGTCAATGGTTGATAAATGATTGACAGAAAATGACAGACTCTCTACTGCGATGCAGGTGTGCCCATCTTGGACAAGTATAAATTGATTACACCTGTGCATGTTTGAAAAATTGCCTGTTACACGCTGAAGAAGAGCGTCGGCTCGAAACGTTCGTTTGGCAATTAAATACACAAATTTGGAGTGCTGTCCTTATCTTTTTTTAATGGATGATAGATGAAATTATATTTTGCAGAAACACATTTGTATTTAATTTATATATTGTGTATGTTTATTGGTTTATATATATAAATGTGTATTGCAGATTCGTTATTTATTTATTCGTAAATGAAGATTAAATAAGGAAGCCTGTTCAACTATTAACTACAGATTAACGGAGAGGGGGTGGGATTCTATAAATTCCCACTTCTTCCCACTTCTTTACGAACATGAAATTCAAATGTTCTGTTGTCTTATTTACTTTTCTTTTTGTGGATCTGTTTTGTTTGTTTTTTTATCCTGAAACAAAGGGGGGAAAAGAAAATACAAATTTGAAAAAAGATTTCAGTCAATCAAAAGAATCCCAGCAGAGAAAATTAAAGAATGAGTACACAGATGACAGTAAGATAATAGAAAACAACAGTTGTTATTAAGGCTGAGTTGACTTCATCATCTTATGTCACTAACAAATCTTATCATTTACATTTGTTTTATCCATAAGTATCCAAATCAAGCTGTCACTAAAAGAGCTACAGATCATTATACTCAACATGGTTTTCAAACAACCAGTCAGCCCAAAGTCCAGACACAAAGTTCAGACTTTTAGATCACTGATTTAGTCTCCTATTCATCCTCTTCCTCTTCCTCCATCCTGCATGGAGTAATAAGCATTGTATGATTATTCTTCATCAAAATAAACATTAAAATCAAAAGCAGCTCATTTTTTTAATATGATCAAAGTAAGTGTAAAAAAAAAAGAAACACGTTATTTATACTTTGTGTCGTTGAACAAAATGTTCATTAATAAAGCAACATGTCATTTTCTCTGAAGGAGAAGACGGTCCGGCTTTAAAATGTTGATTTACAAAATTTCATCATTAAAATATGAAACAAACATTCATGAACAATAGAGACATGACAATAAAGATCCTTTTATGATGTAAATACATTTTACTCACCAATCAGGTGAGAGGTCTGTCAAAAAACGTTCTTCTAAAAATCTTCCCTCTCTGGCAGAAGACTTTGATCCCTGCAACAAGAGACACACTGATGATGTTTCTTTATTACAAATGAAATATGAAGAGCAAAGCAGACACTGAGCAACACATTAAACACTGTGTTGTTTCTTTATTCCATGAATGACACAAAGGATCAAAGTAGAGAGGAGGTGTTGATGTTTCAGTCAAACATTTGACTTGAAAACTCAACATCACTTTGTAGCCGTTATCAGTAGTCACGTTTTACAACCTCTCTTCCTGCAGGACTCAGGACTGTGGATTAACATGTTGTCTACTTTTACCAAGGAACAAAGGAACTGATCAATGATTTAAGTCTCCCTCTCAGACAGGATGTTATGAACTTTTACAACACCTTGAATAAACAACCGAGCGGAAACAGAACACTCCGCTATCTACGAATTGACCCCAAAGACTTGAAATGTGACCGAAACCAGTCTCTGCAAAGTCGTAAAATTGACCATCTGTTGAAGGACTGCTGAAGAACTGAATTAAACCACAGCTTTCAATTCTGCATCAAATGAACATTTATGTCTTTCTTCATCTAGATATTTGTAATTGTCACATTGAATGTATTATAATCATCTTTTTAACTCAAAATCTGATCTTCAGAACAGCAATAAGAGTTAAATTATGTTTAATAGGAATTTGACGTGGAGCGCTATTGCCATCTAGTGTTAGAATATCCATGAATATGTAACCTTCATAATTATACATTTAGACGTGTTATAAAGCATACTCTTTGATATTAGCTATAGAAGTTGTTATTTAAAGACACCAATTTCTTTTCCTACTTTATTAATATGTCTTATTAAGAATGCTGACTGTATAACATGTTTTTGTTCACCTACAGGCTGGGATTGACTGAGGATGTTCCCAGATGGTGTGATTTTCATCTCAACATGAATCTGATAGAAATGTTTGTCTAAATATATGACGTGAACCTACATCAACGTGGATCTGATAGAAATAATATCGAAATGAATGTGTGGTGACGTATACATGTTTAGATTCTTATTCTTAATCTTATTGAGTAAACTCGGTTTAGTTTAAACAATTGTCCTCCGGTCAGAATGGGAGTCACCCGTGGGCTGCACCCCTCTTTGCCTGCAGACCCCCCTCCTCTCATCCAGGTGATAAGAGTTCACACTCAGCTCAGATCTTTTCTTCTGAGTTTTGGTTTCTTGAAGTTTCGAGCTCCAGCTCTTGCTCTCTTCTCTTCGGACTTCGGTCCGAATCACTTCTTTTAAGTTTGTGCCGTAGAGACGACTCTCTACCGAACTTTCTTTTTCACGCACAATTTTTGGAAACATCAATTCCTTCCGGCTCAAGCAAGGTTTTAGAACTTTCTTCTCCAAAGTCTTTGCTCTTCAATTTTGAATGCCAATTCCTTAGTTTGGATTCATTGAGATGGCCATCCGGTTAATCTGAATTGGAAATCGACGTATCAAAAGACTCTTTAATAATTTCTTTCCTGTTGGATCTTTGTGATGCTTCTGAGACGAAGGCATCTAATCTGGCCCGTGGACCTCTCTGGACCTGAAAAGAACCGCTTGCCAGAGACTGAAAACCAGGACCAGCCGGTGGAGTTCAATTGAACACATCTCACAGTAAGACTGCTGGTGGCAAGGGGTGTTGGAAGATTGAGTCTTGAGTCGTGTCTATTCAGAGCCCTCCTTTAAAATCCAAATAGAATCCCAAAATTCTTTTATCAACTTTTTCTTTTTGACCATTTTCTGATCAAGTCATTCAAACAATACCGCGTCTTATCTCATTACTAAATATATAATGTCACCATACATTATAACTGCATTAACCTGATCATAATGATCATATTCTTTATCTGTTTCATCTATACATTATTGTTTACCCCTTTCATATTAAATTTTACACATAAAATTCAGGACTTTGTCTTTGTGTTTTCTTGTTTAACATTTCCAGAACTTACTTCTTTCAAGATATGAAACTGACTGATTAATTAATTAACTTATACCATTAAAGTTATTTTCTTCCTTTAACAGAAAGTGGTGCCCCTTCTTAAATCCGAGGTTAAATAAAGACATAACATCTTGGCGTTTGCTTTACATCAACCATGGGGGTTGTTTCATCTTTAAGGTCTTTGCACACTGAGTCTGTTTTTTTAAAATGTGTTTTTCAGATCTGTAATCCGATCAAAACGTTACACAGGAACCTCACACTCTGAGTCAGATGTGTTCAAACAGAAAAACAAACCTGTTGTGAAAATAATAAAGACAGATGAAAGTTTTCAGAGTGCAAACATGATCGACTCAACATGAGATTGTATTTGTTTTTTAAACATGCAGCAAAACAGACTCAGTGTGTGTGTGTGTACAAACATGACTGTCAGGATTCATTGTTGAAAACACTCACCAGGCTGGGTAGTCTATTTCAATTTTTTTTAAATCAATCATTTTTTCTTTTGACTGATCACTGTGGAGGGATGGATCAGATGGACGTGACGATTGGTCGTCATCTCTGAGAATGTTGAAAAAGAGAGAAAGATTAGATAGTTAGATATCAAACCACAACAACAGATGAAAAACTTCAAGATTAGTCCAGTCAGACTTGATCTGGTTCACTCTGAATGATTAACCCAGCTTCTCATATGGAAATCAAACCTGAGTTTTTATGAGATATTTCTGAACCAGCAGGAACAATAATTTTATAAATATGTGAAAACAAAAATCAATAAACCTTTCTGAAGAAAAAAACATTTAAATGATGTTCATAGCTTCATCTGAAAGAATACATACTGTATATGTTGTAAATATATTTTACTCACAAATCAGGTGGGAGACGGGCCAAAAAACGTTCTTCTCGGACTCGAAGTTGTTCCCTCAGTTGCTGCAGGCGCTGCCTTATTTGATCCCTGCAACAAGAGACACACTGATGATGTTTCTTTATTACAAATGAAATATGAAGAGCAAAGCAGACACTGAGCAACACATTAAACACTGTGTTGTTTCTTTATTCCATGAATGACACAAAGGATCAAAGTAGAGAGGAGGTGTTGATGTTTCAGTCAAACATTTGACTTGAAAACTCAACATCACTTCAACATCTTTTAAACAGGAGCATGGCGTTTGCTTTACATCAACCATGGGGGTTGTTTCATCTTTAAGGTCTTTGCACACTGAGTCTGTTTTTTTTAAATGTGTTTTTCAGATCTGTAATCCGATCAAAACGTTACACAGGAACCTCGCACTCTGAGTCAGATGTGTTCATTCTTCTCTTCATTCTGAAAATTGTCAGTGTGAGACAGAATGGAGTCATCGAGCCGTGAGGATGACTTTGTGATTCTTTCAGTCCTTAAAAAATAAATAAATAAAAACCTCTGGGTCCACCCACTCCTGAAAACAAGACAAGAGCCAGGAGAGTTTCCCCTGTTGATAAAAGAGCTGCAGAATGATCAGCATCACTTCAGGTGTATTTCAGGATGTCAGAGTTTGATACGCTGCTAGCTATACTGAAACTACACATTAAAGGAACACCACCAATTTACACACAGAAACTGATCCTGAACACGGATTGGAAGGATGCAAAAAAAGTTAGAAAAACAAACCTGTTGTGAAAATAATAAAGACAGATGAAAGTTTTCAGAGTGCAAACATGATCGACTCAACATGAGATTGTATTTGTTTTTTCAACATGCAGCAAAACAGACTCAGTGTGTGTGTGTGTGTGTACAAACATGACTGTCAGGATTCATTGATGAAAACACTTACATTGGGTTTTTTTTTCAGATTTTTTTTAATTAATCTTTTTTTCCTTTTGACTGATCACTGTGGAGGGATAGATCAGATGGACGTGATGATTGGGCGCCATCACTGTTGTTACGAGCTAGCACCGGCTACACATATACATACAGCAAAACTAGCCCTAACCTGAAGTGTGACAGAGAAGTCAAGAGATGACAGGTACGGAAAGGACTGATTCTCACATCAGGGTTAGGTCAGCTATACGCGGGTCTGCCGGGGCTCCGACGGCCTGATCGCACCGGACGAGCCCAAGCTTTGTGTTTGAGTTCAGTTTTGTTTGTTGTAGTTGGATCACATAAGATACGGCTGGTTACTAAAACAAGTTCATGGGAGTGGGTCATCTGTTCGGTCTGACAGCTTCCAAGTTGGCGTCCATAGGGGTCCTCCGTCAGCTGCCACTTCACCTGTCGTATTACGTCATTTAAAGCGACAGAGCACCGCTCTGAGCGCACCTCTGGAATGGTGCGTTCAAGACTATCGGACAATCCAGTAAACACAGCTTAAACCCATTCTCTATTCTCCCCATGAAAACCAGTCCAAAGTGATTAACAAAACAGACAGATAAGGATGAAGAAGAAGAACCTTACCGATTCCTAACATTCCTTCCCCCTTATAACAAAAACTTTTATTTTTTTTATGATCCAACCTTTTATTTTTTTTATCATTTTTATATTAATGTTTTTTTTTTCCTTTTCTTAAAACTGAGACATTTGCATGATGTCTTCTTTGGAGTTGAGATTGACTATTTATTTCTATCTAAAAATGTATCTATCTTAGTAGTCGCATCACTCAACTTCTTCAAGTCTGTACACTACTATTATAACAATGTCAACACCTAAACACTTCCAAAAATAAAAAACACACTCAGGCTCTCGACAGGGTGTCGGCTATCACATTTTCTTTACCCGGTAAATGCCGGACTGTCAGGTTATATGGCTGGAGAATCAGACTCCACCGGAAAACTCTCTGACTTGAGGTTTTGAACTTTGCAAGAAAAGTAAGTGGATTATGATCTGTCAGAAGCTCCAGATCCCCACCACTACTAGAGACATAAACCTCAAAGTGTTGAGAACAAGAGCTAGGGCCTCCTTCTCTATGGTGGAATAACGCCTTTGATGGCAATTCAGTTTCTTAGAGAAGTAGGCAACAGGCCTGTCTATTCCTGACCCATCAGTCTGCAACAGCACCGCCCCCACTCCTACATCACAAGCATCAACAGCCAACTTGAATGGGGCTGAAAAGTCAGGAGCGACCAGTACTGGCTCACTAGCGAGGATGGCTTTAACCATCTCCAGAGCTTTTTGACAGTCTACTGACCAACTAAACTTGACCCCCTTTTTTAGCAGGTTAGTAAGTGGTGTCGTCACAGCAGCAAAGTTAGGAACAAAACGACGGTAAAAGCCAGACATACCTAAGAGGCACATCAGCTGATGTTTAGACTAAAAACTAAAAACTAAAACAAACCACATCGTCTAAATATGTCACAGTGTTTTTCAGTCCAGAGGTTATTGAGTTCATTAACCTTTGGAACGTTGCTGGCGCAACCAGACAACGATACAAACACTCAGGCGTCACAAACGCAGATACTTCCTTTGCCCGATCTGTCAAGAGCACCTGCCAATATCCTTTCAATAAGTCAAATTTTGACACGTACTGAGCGCTGCCAATCTTGTCAATACAGTCTTCCAGTCTCGGTATAGGATATGCATCAGTTTTAGTTACATTATTTACCTTTCGGTAATCAATACAAGGACAAACAGTCAAATCTGGCTTGGGAACAGGGACTAAAGGAGAACTCCACTCACTTGAACCCTGTTCAATCGCACCAATTTCTTCCATATACAGAAGCTCTGGTTTTACCTTAACCCATTTTTGTGGATTAATCCGGTACGGATGTTGCTTAATGGGAGTAGCTCCACCTGTATCCACATCATGGGTAATTAAATTTGTCAAACCAGGGGTATCTTTAAACAGGGGTCTAAAGTGATCCACTAGCTGCAGTACATCTTCTCTCTGGTCTGTGGTGAGATGACTCAGGGACTCGCTGAGATTGGCCAGAGCACTGGAATTCTTAAGCCTAGCTGTGACCGGCTCCACTGACCCATCCTCATCTTCCTCACTCTCATCCTCCTCCACAGCCGTCTGAGACACCAGACACACAGCAGATGGAATGTCACGAGCATAATATGGCTTCAGAAGATTGACATGACACAGTCGAGACTTCAGTCTTCGATCTGGTGTCTCCACAACGTAGTTACACTCACTCACTTTCCTGATGACCTTATAAGGACCATAAAACTTTACCCCCAACTTCTCTCCACCCATGGGCAACAACACCAAGACTTGATCTCCAAGCTTAAAGGAACGGCTCACTGCTCTCTTGTCATACTGAGCCTTCATCTTTCCCTTAGCAGCCTGAAAATTACTCCTGGCCAAGTCACAAGCTGTATGCAACCGGTCCCGAAAAGATGCTACATACTCCAACACACCCCTGGGAGCATCTGTGGGCCCTGCAGATCGCAACAACTGTTCTTTGATCATCTTCAGAGGTCCTCTTACCTGATTTCCGTAGACTAGCTCAAAAGGACTAAAACCTGTAGACTCATTCACAGAGTCTCGGACAGCAAACAATAGAAAAGTCCCAGTCACCCGAGTAACTCACACAATAGGTTTTAATCATGGACTTTATCGTCTGGTGGTATCTGGGTCAGTGACAAATAAGGGTTGTTCAGATGACCAATTCAAAAATCTTTTAAAAACACAATTTGAAAGCATGCATCAGGTTCATTAAAATGTGAGATTTGTATTCATGTTGGTTTTGTGTTTTTTAAAATGACATTTAAACCTTTTTTTTTCAAAAGGTAAGACTAAATGGACCTAAAAATGTCAAGTGGTGTAACCACTGAAAAATTAAGAATATTGAATATTTTATACATCTAGAGTATATGTAAGTGTACTCATGATTGTAATTACTTCATTTTAAAATAGCACAAGAAAATAGATTTTATTAGGATTATCCCTAAATTTATAAGTTATGCCTTTTTTCAATACTGAGCGGGACACAAAGCTGAAAACACCTCTGTTTTCTAATTAATTTTTGGCAAATTATGTGAAAATTGTTTAAAAACATGTTATTTCACTGCAATAGAGGACTACTTTTATTCCACTTTAATTTTCCTGTATTTTATTATAATTTTTACAAGAAATACTGGTTACACCAATTGACGCAAACCAGTTACACCAACTGACCATGCTGCTTCTACAGTCAAAGGCCATTGTTTCTTGAAGAAATTGTTGTTAGCTTCCTCCATTTAATGTTTGCTCCACCTACCAAAGTGCACAGAATACCAGTACGCTGAAGACAGTAATGTAGCACATTTGTCTTAAACACAGAATAGCATAAAACTGAAGTGAACAGATCGGCCTTTTGGATGGGTCTCATAGATCGGCAAATTCTTACTGATACCTGATCTAGCTGTCTTCGTCAGGATCGGTGCATCCTTAATTAATTCATATCTTAAGTAAATTACAACATCTGACCAAAATCTTCAGGGGGAATTCATTTCTTCAGTATTTGGAATAAACTCAAGGTACTTGTGCCCTAATCAAAGGATAACATACCCACAGGCAACACTTTACATCTCTCCTTCTTTACATCATGGCCATCACAGCACAAACAGCATTGCCACCTTCTATAGTACCAGACTTTGGCAAGCAAGCTCCAGGTAGTGACACGCTGATACTACCTACAACATGGCCCCTAATAGCCGACACATCTAAAATGCAACTACTGGTGCCAATATTACAGCATACAAACATATATTAGATTATACGTGTTTAAAGGTGCACTGTGTAGATTTGGTGGTGAAAGTTGGAGAAGTGAAACAATTCTTTGATACATTTTGTGAACTGAATACACAAACTCAAGACACAAAAAAATGAGCGTCACGTCATTGACCTATCTCTCAATAGCACCCTGGGACTGGGGATGATAAGCTGATGACATGATCTGCTTAATGCCTAGCTCATGCATCACTTCCTGGAAAAAAACGGAAGTAAAGTTGGACCCACGATCATGTTGAACTTCTCGTGGTAAACCAACCCTAGAAAAGAAATGCAAAAGAGCCTCAACTATGACCTTGGTCTTAATAGATCTTAATGGAACAGCTTCAGGAAACCTGGTGGAAGCATCCATAATAGTGAAGAGATATTCATTTCCTTTCTTAGTTTTTGGTAGAGGCCCAACACAATCAATCACTACTCTGGAAAAAGGTTCTTCCATGACAGCTAGAGGACAGAGAGGAGCAACCGGAATAGTTTGATTTGGCTTGCCTGTTACCTGACAAGCGTGACAACTGCGACAATACAAAACGACATCTTTATGCATCCGAGGCCAATAAAAATGCCGACTGATTTTCTCTTGTGTTTTCCCGAATTCCTAAGTGGCCAGCCATGGATACCTCATGAGCCAAACGCAGGACTTCTTTCCTAAAACTCTCAGGTAACACAATCTGTGTCATACCTGTCCACAGCTCATCTGCTGGACGGTCACGAGGGCGCCATTTCCTTAACAAAACTCCGTCTTGGATAAACAAACCTTCAGCTACCCCCTTCAGGTCTTCAGTACTACCCGCCGTTTGTTTCAGAGAAGCTATAGAGGGATCCTTTTCCTGCTCTAATACAAGGGCGTCACGAGAAAACGAGAGCAGGGGCTACCTCAGCTAACCTAGCGAAAAATGTGTCGGCCAAACCCCCAGAAAAGTCATCATCCTCACTGAAGCTCTCTTTTTCAACCGCACGGGACTGAGCTCGTGTCACCACACTTGCTGTAAACACCTCAGGGTGTTCTCGCTCCAGAGCCAAGGTCTCTGGACCTCACAGGGTTGCTCACTCACAACCGGTGTCACACAAACACGAGTACCGGCCAAATCATTGCCCAACACAAAAGCCACCCCTTTTATGGGCAGGTCTGGTACCACACCTACTTCTACTGGTCCATTCACAATGTTGGACTGCAGAAATACTTTATGTAAGGGAGCACTAACAAAACCATCTCCCATGCCTTTTACTGGGGTTGATACATTCAAATAGGTTTTGGGGGAAAGACCAAGAACACCTTGCAGCAACAAGGACCGGTTTGCACCTGTGTCCCTCAAGATGTTGACAGGGACCTTTTCACCCTCAGAGGTACAAGAAACAGCACCTTTGGACACAAAACCCTCAAATCCTTCCATTATTGGGCTAAACAGCAGGTTAAAACTGCCAATGTCACCAGGAATGGTCTGAATCTGGGCACCAATCAACCCCACAATATTGGCTTCGCCATTTTTCTTTTTAAGACTCAGGCATTTGGACTTCAAATGGCCGGGCCTTTTGCAGTAATGACAAATAATGTAATTCCTAGACACGTGTGACTTGTCGTGCCTCTTCTATGAACCTTGTGGCTGAGCAAAGGTAGGAGCAGACTTTGTCATGACAGCCTCAACAGGTCTGTCAGAAACTCCCTGTCTACCAACTTTACCTTTCCAAGACCCATCTCTATGTGTTAACTCATAGGAATCTGCAGCCATAGCAGCTTTCCTCAATTCACTAACTCCCAATGGAAATCAAACCTGAGTTTTTTATAAGAGATATTTCTGAACCAGAAGGAACAATAATTTTATATAAACATGTGAAAACAAAAATCAATTTACCGTGTGGGGAGGGATGGATCAGATGGACGTGATGATTGGGCGTGATCACTGTGGAGAGATGGATCAGATGGACGTGATGATTGGGCGTCATCACAAAAGAGAGAAAGATTAGATAGTTAGATATCAAACCACAACAACAGATGAAAAACTTCAAGATTAGTCCAGTCAGACTTGATCTGGTTCACTCTGAATGATTAACCCAGCTTCTCATATGGAAATCAAACCTGAGTTTTTTAAACGAGATATTTCTGGACCAGAAGGAACAATAATTTTAAATATATGTGAAAACAAAAATAAATTTACCGTGTGGTGAACGATGGATCAGATGGACGTGATGATTGGTCGTCATCACTGTGGAGGGATGGATCAGATGGACGTGATGATTGGTCGTCATCACTGTGGAGGGATGGATAAGATGGACGTGATGATTGGTCGTCATCACTGTGGAGAGATGGATCAGATGGACGTGATGATTGGTCGTCATCACTGTGGAGAGATGGATCAGATGAACGTGATGATTGGTCGTCATCACTGTGGAGAGATGGATCAGATGAACGTGATGATTGGTCGTCATCACTGTGGAGGGATGAATCAGATGAACGTGATAATTGGTCGTCATCACTGTGGAGGGATGGATAAGATGGACGTGATAATTGGGCGTCATCACTGTGGAGGGATGGATCAGATGGACGTGATAATTGGGCGTCATCTCTGAGAAAGCTGAAAAAGGGAGAAAGATTAGATAGTTAGATATCAAACCACAACAACAGATGAAAAACTTCAAGATTAGTCCAGTCAGACTTGATCTGGTTCACTCTGAATGATTAACCCAGCTTCTCATATGGAAATCAAACCTGAGTTTTTTTGAGATATTTCTGAACCAGCAGGAACAATAATTTTATATAAACATGTGAAAACAAAAATCAATTTACCGTGTGGGGAGGGATGGATCAGATGGACGTGATGATTGGGCGTCATCACTGTGGAGAGATGGATCAGATGGACGTGATGATTGGGCGTCATCACTGTGGAGAGATGGATCAGATGGACGTGATGATTGGGCGTCATCACTGTGGAGAGATGGATCAGATGGACGTGATGATTGGGCGTCATCACTGAGAAAGCTGAAAAAGAGAGAAAGATTAGATAGTTAGATATCAAACCACAACAACAGATGAAAAACTTCAAGATTAGTCCAGTCAGACTTGATCTGGTTCACTCTGAATGATTAACCCAGCTTCTCATATGGAAATCAAACCTGAGTTTTTTATGAGATATTTCTGAACCAGCAGGAACAATAATTCTAAAAATAAGTGAAAACAAAAATCAATTTACCTTTCTGAAGAATAAAACATTTAAATGATGATAATAGCTTCATCTGAAAGAATACATACTGTATATGTTGTAAATACATTTTACTCACCAATCAGGTGGGAGGTCGGCGAATAAACGATGTTCTAGCCTTGGAAGGAGTTTCCTCAGTTTCTGCAGAAAACAACCCCTGCAACAAGAGACACACTGATGATGTTTCTTTATTACAAATGAAATATGAAGAGCAAAGCAGACACTGAGCAACACATTAAACACTGTGTTGTTTCTTTATTCCATGAATGACACAAAGGATCAAAGTAGAGAGGAGGTGTTGATGTTTCAGTCAAACATTTGACTTGAAACTCAACTCAACATCACTTCAACATCTTTTAAACAGGAGCATGGCGTTTGCTTTACATCAACCATGGGGTTGTTTCATCTTGAAGGTCTTTGCACACTGAGTCTGTTTTTTTTAAATGTTTTTTCAGATCTGTAATCCGATCAAAACGTTACACAGGAACCTCACACTCTGAGTCAGATGTGTTCATTCTTCTCTTCATTCTGAAAATTGTCAGTGTGAGACAGAATGGAGTCATCGAGCCGTGAGGATGACTTTGTGATTCTTTCAGTCCTTAAAAAATAAAGAAATAAAAACCTCTGGGTCCACCCACTCCTGAAAACAAGACAAGAGCCAGGAGAGTTTCCCCTGTTGATAAAAAAGCTGCAGAATGATCAGCATCACTTCAGGTGTATTTCAGGATGTCAGAGTTTGATACGCTGCTAGCTATACTGAAACTACACATTAAAGGAACACCACCAATTTACACACAGAAACTGATCCTGAACACGGATTGGAAGGATGCAAAAAAGTTAGAAAAACAAACCTGTTGTGAAAATAATAAAGACAGATGAAAGTTTTCAGAGTGCAAACATGATCGACTCAACATGAGATTGTATTTGTTTTTTCAACATGCAGCAAAACAGACTCAGTGTGTGTGTGTGTGTGTGTGTGTACAAACATGACTGTCAGGATTCATTGTTGAAAACACTTACTTGTTTCGCTTGCTTTTTTCTAATTTTTTGAAATCAATCTTTTTTTCTTTTGACCGATCACTGTGGAGGGATGGATCAGATGAACTTGATGATTGGTTGTCATCACTGAGAAATCTGAAAAAGAGAGAAAGATTAGATAGTTAGATATCAAACCACAACAACAGATGAAAAACTTCAAGATTAGTCCAGTCAGACTTGATCTGGTTCACTCTGAATGATTAACCCAGCTTCTCATATGGAAATCAAACCTGAGTTTTTTATGAGATATTTCTGAACCAGCAGGAACAATAATTTTAAATATATGTGAAAACAAAGATCAATTTACCTTTCTGAAGAAAAAACATTTAAATGATGTTCATAGCTTCATCTGGAAGAATATATACTGTATATTTGGAAAATACATTTTACTTACTGATCAGGTGAGATGTCAACCAAAAAACGTTCTTCTCGCACTCGAAGACGTTCCCTCTGTTTCTGCAGACGTTGCCATCTTTGATACCTGCAACAAGAGACACATTGATGATGCTTCTTTCTTACAAATGAAATATGAAGAGTAAAGCAGACACTTTCACATGTTCTCTCAATATCACAGTGGATTAATACTTATCTTGAGGTAGTTAACATGGAACTTTCTGTAGCCAAAATCCATGGTGCCAATAGAAACACCATATAATCTTGGACGTTGATTTTAACTATAATTGAAGCATTATTAACTACCAATAAGTAAAAGAACTGTGTATTATTGAGAAACAAGTGAATGTTAATGTGATGAATTGCCCTTTAATACTTGGTGTTTTCTACATTTCCCAAAAGACTTAATACACCTCAATTCATAAACTGTTACCTGTGTTGACATATGTGGATTTTATTTTGAATGTGTAGAGAAATGTGTTTTGAGTGTATGAACATGTATGTACGAATACATGCATCCATATACAGATGCAATTACATCACATATGCAATATGGAAAATAAGGTACTCAGGGGAGTGCGACTTTCGAACTAAGTTAGTTGAATTGTAGCATATTATCCAGAACTTGTGTTTATAGTTAGAGATCTTACGGGGGAGGGGGAGAGGGGGTTTGGTCGCCACGGGAAACAGGGAGTAGGGAGGGATTGACAATCTGCAGCTATAAATAAAACTGATTATAGAAATGCAGATTAGGTTTTGCCTAATAATGATATGTTTGATAAATTCATAATGTTGATTCCTCAGATATGTGATATATAAATGTATATGTTGCCTGAACATGAAAATCAATAAAAAATTGATCACAAAAAAGTTAGAAAAACAAACCTGTTGTGAAAATAATAAAGACAGATGAAAGTTTTCAGAGTGCAAACATGATCGACTCAACATGAGATTGTATTTGTTTTTTCAACATGCAGCAAAACAGACTCAGTGTGTGTGTGTACAAACATGACTGTCAGGATTCATTGTTAAAAACACTTACCTCTTTGGGTCGCATTTTTCTAATTTTTTAAATTAATTAGTTTTCCATTTAACCGATTACTGTGGAGAGATGGATCAGATGGACGTGATGATTGGTCGTCATCACTGAGAAAGCTGAAAAAAAGAGAAAGATTAGATAGTTAGATATCAAACCACAACAACAGATGAAAAACTTCAAGATTAGTCCAGTCAGACTTGATCTGGTTCACTCTGAATGATTAACCCAGCTTCTCATATGGAAATCAAACCTGAGTTTTTTATATGAGATATTTCTGAACCAGCAGGAACAATAATTTTATAAATATGTGAAAACAAAAATCTATTTACCTTTCTGAAGAAAAAAACATTGAAATGATGTTCATAGCTTCATCTGAAAGAATACATACTGTATATGTTGTAAATACATTTTACTCACTAATCAGGTGGGAGACGGGCCAAAAAACGTTCTTCTAGGCCTCGAAGACGTTCCCTGTCTTTCTGCAGACTTTGCCATCTTCGATACCTGCAACAAGAGACACACTGATGATGCTTTTTTATTACAAATGAAATATGAAGAGCAAAGCAGACACTGAGCAACACATTAAACACTGTGTTGTTTCTTTATTCCATGAATGACACAAAGGATCAAAGTAGAGAGGAGGTGTTGATGTTTCAGTCAAACATTTGACTTGAAAACTCAACATCACTTCAACATCTTTTAAACAGGAGCATGGCGTTTGCTTTACATCAACCATGGGGGTTGTTTCATCTTGAAGGTCTTTGCACACTGAGTCTGTTTTTTTTAAATGTGTTTTTCAGATCTGTAATCCGATCAAAACGTTACACAGGAACCTCGCACTCTGAGTCAGATGTGTTCATTCTTCTCTTCATTCTGAAAATTGTCAGTGTGAGACAGAATGGAGTCATCGAGCTGTGAGGATGACTTTGTGATTCTTTCAGTCCTTAAAAAATAAATAAATAAAAACCTCTGGGTCCACCCACTCCTGAAAACAAGACAAGAGCCAGGAGAGTTTCCCCTGTTGATAAAAGAGCTGCAGAATGATCAGCATCACTTCAGGTGTATTTCAGGATGTCAGAGTTTGATACGCTGCTAGCTATACTGAAACTACACATTAAAGGAACACCACCAATTTACACACAGAAACTGATCCTGAACACGGATTGGAAGGATGCAATAAAAGTTAGAAAAACAAACCTGTTGTGAAAATAATAAAGACAGATGAAAGTTTTCAGAGTGCAAACATGATCGACTCAACATGAGATTGTATTTGTTTTTTCAACATGCAGCAAAACAGACTCAGTGTGTGTGTGTGTGTGTGTGTGTGTACAAACATGACTGTCAGGATTCAATGTTTAAAACACTTACATGTCTGGGTCGCATATTTCTAATTTTTTTAAATCAATTAGTTTTCCTATTGACCAATCACTGTGAGGGATGGATCAGATGGACGTGTCGATTGGTTGTCATCACTGAGAATGCTGAAAAAGAGAGAAAGATTAGATAGTTAGATATCAAACCACAACAACAGATGAAAAACTTCAAGATTAGTCCAGTCAGACTTGATCTGGTTCACTCTGAATGATTAACCCAGCTTCTCATATGGAAATCAAACCTGAGTTTTTTATGAGATATTTCTGAACCAGCAGGAACAATAATTTTATAAATACGTAAAAACAAAAATCTATTTACCCTTCTGAAGAAAAAACATTGAAATGATGTTCATAGCTTCATCTGAAATAATACATACTGTATATGTTGTAAATACATTTGACTCACTAATCAGATGGAGGTCGGCGAATAAACGTTCTTCTTGGACTTGAAGACGTTCCCTCAGTATCTGCAGATTTTGCCATCTTTTATACCTGCAACAAGAAACACACTGATGATGTTTCTTTATTACAAATGAAATATGAAGAGCAAAGCAGACACTGAGCAACACATTAAACACTGTGTTGTTTCTTTATTCCATGAATGACACAAAGGATCAAAGTAGAGAGGAGGTTGATGTTTCAGTCAAACATTTGACTTGAAAACTCAACATCACTTCAACATCTTTTAAACAGGAGCATGGCGTTTGCTTTACATCAACCATGGGGTTGTTTCATCTTTAAGGTCTTTGCACACTGAGTCTGTTTTTTAAAATGTGTTTTTCAGATCTGTAATCCGATCAAAACGTTACACAGGAACCTCGCACTCTGAGTCAGATGTGTTCATTCTTCTCTTCATTCTGAAAATTGTCAGTGTGAGACAGAATGGAGTCATCGAGCTGTGAGGATGACTTTGTGATTCTTTCAGTCCTTAAAAAATAAAGAAATAAAAACCTCTGGGTCCACCCACTCCTGAAAACAAGACAAGAGCCAGGAGTTTCCCCTGTTGATAAAAGAGCTGCAGAATGATCAGCATCACTTCAGGTGTATTTCAGGATGTCAGAGTTTGATACGCTGCTAGCTATACTGAAACTACACATTAAAGGAACACCACCAATTTACACACAGAAACTGATCCTGAACACGGATTGGAAGGATGCAAAAAAAGTTAGAAAAACAAACCTGTTGTGAAAATATAAAGACAGATGAAAGTTTTCAGAGTGCAAACATGATCGACTCAACATGAGATTGTATTTGTTTTTTCAACATGCAGCAAAACAGACTCAGTGTGTGTGTGTACAAACATGACTGTCAGGATTCAATGATGAAAACACTTACATGTCTGGGTTGCATTTTTGTAACTTTTTTAAATTAATCTTTTTTCCTTTTGACTGATCACTGTGGAGGATGGATCAGATAGATGTGATGATTGGTTGTCATCACTGTGGAGGATGGATCAGATGGACATGTCGATTGGTCGTCATCACTGAGAAAGCTGAAAAAGAGAGAAAGATTAGATAGTTAGATATCAAACCACAACAACAGATGAAAAACTTCAAGATTAATCCAGTCAGACTTGATCTGGTTCACTCTGAATGATTAACCCAGCTTCTCATATGGAAATCAAACCTGAGTTTTTTATATGAGATATTTCTGAACCAGCAGGAACAATAATTGTATATATATATGTTTTAGGGATTTTATTTGGTTTATCTTGGTTATATTATTAATAATTATATTTAATTATTTATTAATATAAATAACAATGTTATTAAACTACACTTAATTGACTCGGGGGCACCACCCTGAAACCAGGGGAAAATAACCAAAATATCACTAAAATCACTCAAATTAGTTATTTAATTACTAAAATTATTAATAATGGATAACTATATTGAATAAATTGAAGGCGTGAAATCTGTACATAAAGCCCTCGCACCCAGATTATATCACAATGCAAATACACCAGTAATCACAAACTGCTCTCTTAAATTATAACAGAATTTACTTAAACAAAGCAACATCAATCTAAAATCAATGAACTTAATCAAACAAATAACTATCATAAACTAATCTAAGCAAACAAACATTATCAAGCAAAACTTGTGAATGAGGTGTAAAAGTGTAGTTATGTGTGTATGTGTGTGTGTGGATGAGAGAGAGAGAGAGAGAGAGAGAAAAAACAAGATGGTGGAGAGAGACAATGCACCATGTGGCTTCGTCACATGGTGACAAAATGGTGGACAACAAAAGAAGCCGTGTGGCTACCTTTTGAAATAGTTTGATCTCTCTGAGCTGAGTTCAGTAACTGTTACTTAAACACCAGAAAGCCAGTGGCCAGACTTTGATTCAACAGCAGGTACACTGGTCTTTCTGATTGTGAAAGCCGTTGACTGAAGGTAAGCTAGCATAGCATTACACCCAGCAGTTCATTACAATAAAACGAATGCAGCAGTTTACAACAAATAATAAACAGAATGTGACGTCTCGTCAAAATGATGCATAATTATCAGTGGTTATAAAAGAAACATAAATATTTCTGAAACTATTTCTGCCCAGACCAAAGCTCTTACTTGGGGTAACTCCTGGTGATCGTTGCAAAGTTGGTTAGATCGTCACTCTGTTGAATGTTAAAATCAAAGAATGGACGGGACAAGCTCCCCGGTGGAGTGAAGCTTTTATTTGTAGAGCTCCCCCTGCTGACTGGCTGCAGTATAGGTCATAAACCCCGCCTCCTCAATGATAACAGATGGGATGTGGGTCAAACTGTAAAGCTAAAATACTCGTCACATAATTTTTTTCCAAATCTAAACTCTGCTGTGATCATTAGTTATTATCACCCTACATTGTGTTCAAGTGCTCATTTTTCTGTGAAGTTTGTTTTAAATAAGTTATTTGAGGTTGAAAAACGTGATTTTACGTCATATTTGACGATGATTGACAGCCGCCGATCTTGCGTAGCTGTCTTTGTGAATAGCAAAGCTTCGTAGCGAAGGAAAGCCGAGACGCCATTTAATATTTCCACTCCGCCGTCTCTCTTGGACTGACAGAATGAGTTGTTCTGCTGAAAACACATCTAACCAATCTGTGGGATTTAAGGATATCTGCGTTAACTTGGTAAGTTGAAATGTTTGTTTAATGTGCTGTTCGCGGGTAATGCCATTAGCTAGCTAGCTAACACTGAAGTAGGCTAACGGAGCTAACGTTATGTTACCAATAGCTGGCTGTGACGGACATTATTTATCTTTTTATTTCAGTAAAGAATTGGGGTGGGGAATCCTGATTAACTATGCTGGCTGTGCTTCATGATACTAAAACTTTACTGTGCTCAAGATTCATATTAATGAACGATCAGATCCGTAGTCAAATTCAGCATATAGTTGTGCATCTCCGACAATAACTTTACGTTACGGTCTGTTAAAGTAAAATAGAATATGTCCTGATGGTCTGCATTACTAATAACATTAACAGTTGTTCAGTCTGCTCAGTGTGAACAGACTGTAAGAATAACAGGCTCGACTTTCTTCCGCACCCCGTGATGCTGCTACGGCTGAAATTTAACATTAATATTTGAAAGAGGCAGAATATTTATATAATATGTTCAGATAACACTTAAGTTATTATTGGTTCAATAATATCTCTAACTGTTCGAAGAAAAGAAACAGAACGGACATGTTAACATCAGCAGCCGACGTGTGAAATGTAATATGAACCAAACATGATTTGTACAAGGACTCAAAACGGGCTGATCATATTCTACTAAGACTTGAACAGGTTGACTTTAGTGTTAATTTACTTTAGTTAATATTTAAGACTTGAACAGGTTGACTTTAGTGTTAATTTACTTAAGTTAATATTCAAGACTTCAACAGGTTGACTTTAGTGTTAATTTACTTTAGTTAATATTCAAGACTTCAACAGGTTGACTTTAGTGTTAATTTACTTTAGTTAATATTTAAGACTTCAACACACTACCAGGAATCAATTCAATAGTTTACAGTTGATTTGTTGTGACTTTGGTTCAGAATATTCAGAATTTGTTCAGAAATACTCTTCTTGCTTTGCTCCATGATTATGTGATTCATATGTTATATAATAACTTTCCTGTTATTAACACGATTTCTGTTCAACAAGATTAATTTCTATTTAAATTGCTCTTTTGGTTATTTCATTATCATATTTGTCTGTTATAACTTTTTAGTTTTAGACTTAAATTTTAAAATTATAAATTTTCTCAAATAACAAAGCAGTCTCAAATCTTTTTGAGGAATTATAGCTGAAAAAAATGAAATTCTTAAATAAAGTGAAGTACTTTGATTGCATTTGTGTGGTGTTCCTGTAGATGACCATGATGCAGCCAGACTGAAGCAGCAGGTTGTGAAGGTGGACGCCATCATCTGGTCTCTGCAGTGCTGATTCTGAAGAGCATGTCTTTACATAGAACTCAAAGGTAAAATTATCTCTTATATGGTTGGACCGTGTTATTGTAACCGCTATCAGCATCAAAGTAATTTTAGTGTACGAGTGAAAATGGGATATGCAAATAAGTTAGAAACATATGTTTATTATGTTTTTCTCTATGCAGACATAACTTTAGTATGTTCTTAAATGATTGCTAAAATGTTGGTTACAAGTGTTACAGTAATGTTAATATCCTGTTATTAGGTAGGCACCTAGTGGGCGCTGTTCAGGCAGGAGCGCCACTAGCGCCCATTATAACACCATTATAGTTGTCTTTAATAGGAAAACAAAAAACATGACCAGCTACTTTTTTATAAAGGCAAACTTTAGAAGCTGAAATTTAGCAGAACCTGAGGACAGATCTTATTTCAGGTCTGAGGCATAAACATCACAGTAAAATTCATTATACTTTACATTTAACTCCATGATTGTTTTTCTTTATTACAGAAGATGCAAATAAGTAAGGGAGACCATCAGGTCGAATTTCTGGGACATAGGAGAAAGTATAAAAAATAATTTAACAAAGAAATCCAAACAAATATCAAATAAAGTATAGAGATCATGGATGATTTTTTGACTGTTAAAATATGATGG